CTATCATTGTTGATTTTTTTTTTTTTATGGAGCTTCACACGTGGACTCTGTATGCTCCGCATGGGATACTGTAGACCAGGCTATTTTGCCATCCGGCTGGGAAGTGAGTCACCCCAATTCGGGGCGAGTCCGGGGGTTGTAGCACCTCTTTGTTTATTGTGATCGTCTTTGCCTGCAAGAAACCGTCTATAATCAAAATCTGGAAAATGGCTGCGAATTCAATGACAATGCATCAGTGGTGTAGCTTCCTTGCTCAGTCGCAACCTACGGCTGGAGAGGCTAGAATGCTGTTTCAGTCACAAAGATGAGATCAAGGGATGTCGAGGACCAGGGGATCTGTGCTGTGCGTTTGGCCACCCTGATGCAACAAAGCCAATGGCTACCTCGACCCCGGGGTTATCGGGTGCGGAGGAGGACGGGAACGGCTGGCTTTCTTGGAATTGATGAAATGACCCAGGGAACATTAGGGACGCACTGAAAAGTATCCGAAAATGTATCCGGAGCTCATTTGCCGGTCTGTGACCCCTGGTTAGATGACCTACGGGAGTTCCGAAGACCATCTAACGGTGAATGCATAATGCATTGCTTCGATCGGGGTTCCCTAAGGTTGCATCAAAACGACGAGTATAAGCTTCAAAGTGATGAATCAAGACTAGCCCTTTCTCTTTGAACAGTCTTTAGGTTCTTTGAAGTCTTCAATCTTTGAGTTAAAGCTTCGATTGGGAACCATGACCTTCCATAGCCACTTTGGCTATTCCTTTCTTAGCCAACTCCTCATCAAGGTAGTACATCTCTTTCACTAAGTTACCTTGGTCGTCCAACTCAAACACGAGTGGAACCCCGGTAGGTGCGTTGATCTTGCTGATGGCCTCATCACTCATTTTGCAGAAGTGCTTGATGAGACTTCTCACAATAGATCCGTGAGTAACAATCAAAACCTCTCTATCCTGTTTGAGGATTTCATTTTTCACAATATGATCCACATAAGGAACCACTCTTCTTATAGTCATCCGAAGCAGCTCTCCCTGAGGCAATTTCTCAACGGGTATATCACTGAACTTGTATCTCTCGTCTATCGAATCATCGTTTTGGACACTGCCGGTCTCCGGAGGCACGCCGTCAACGTTCCTTCTATAAAATTGGTACTTCTCCTTGCCGAATTCCTTGAAAACCTCGTTCTTATCTCTACCCTGGAACAGTCCGTAGTGTCTCTCGTTGAGTCGCCACAGTTTATACTGCGGGATCCACATACGACCGATTGTCTCCAAGATAATGTTACCCGTCTTGATCAGCCTCTGAAGCATCGACGTAAACATCACATCTGGCCGTATGTTGTACTTTTTCAATAGTTCACCAGCATGTTGCGCTTCTTTTTCGCCTTTTTCGGATAGCGGGATATCGATCCACCCACAAAACTTATTTTCATGGTTCCACTGACTCTCACCGTGGCGGAGTACTATTAACTTATGCATATTGGTGGAGTAGTGGTATGGAGAAGTGATCTGGAGTTGATAAGTACTTGCTTCCATCACGTGTGTGCAGCGCACCATCGGGTGAGTCTTCGGTTAGATCTTGTGACTATACTGAGTCGTGATTTTCTGATAATTGAATCTTCTGAGGAATTCAGCCTAGACACAATCTTCAATTTCGTTTCTTTTGTGTGGGCATGTCATACATGCGCTGATGTCTCGGACTGATCTCATGCGACTATGTTTTGCACCCATCAGACCGCGGATGTGGTATCCATGGTTATTAGCCCAACAACGAGGCACGTTTTTATTTTTAATCTTTTTTATAATAACTTTCGATTTTTAATAGTTAACTACACTACTTACATAGATTGAGTCAAATGCACAGTTATTGGCTAGTTCTTGGTCTCACAGGCACCTAACAAGGAGATCAGGGTTCACAGATATCACTTTATCATTGACTAGAGGTCTCAAAGCTGCCAATTATAATACTTTTCATCAATTATAGCTTGAATTGACTCTCTCACTGATTTATGTCTCCTACTATTGGTCTACATGTAAGATCTCACGTTTTGGCATGAGCCTCTGCTTTCAACTTATATTGTTAATACGCTATGTGTAGATTGCTACATGACCGCAATACAATTGAACAGAAATGGTGGAACTATCTGGCTCATGATATAGAAAGACAGAATATTCCAGCCACACTATCCAACTATGGACCAGGGTAATTGATAGTGATAGATCAGCAGCGCAAAGGCAGTGACAATCTTGAAAATCATTGATTTTCAGACAATTATTCGTGTTCGGAATGGTTTGTTGGTATTTTCCGAGACCTTTCCAAGCGGAATCATGTCAAAAACGCCTGCTCATGCACGTTGGAAATCGTATTTGTCAGAAAAAAACGTTGGTATGTTGGTCCGGAGATATGCATGGCGGTTAAGAATTGTAGGGTCACTTTTCTCCAGTGCAATTAGTGAGATCTAGCACGAAAGAAAATAGCGACATTGTTCGAGAGGGTACCCAAGAAAATCATAAATCAAATGTAATGACCATGTATATTGTACATTATACATTTGGTCTTTCGAACAAACGCTTGGTCGGTAAGTGGGCTCCTGTTATGCATAGGCGTCTCGGAGAAATTCCCAATGCGGACCGTTTCCGGTCATAATCTGCAACAAACGAAGCAATGGCTGCGAAAACCGGTTACTCGGCACTGCGGCTCCAAGTATATAAAGCCCTGGTTTTCCCATAAATTCATCATCATAAAACAAACAGCATCAATAATCATGACCACAGTTTTAGTTTCCGGCGCCTCCGGCTTCATCGCATTGCACACCGTTCAAGAACTCATCAAGCAGGGCTATACTGTTGTGGGTTCAGTCAGAAGCTCTGAGAAGGGCGAATACGTCAAGAAAGCTTCGGGTAACCCCGAGAAGTTCTCTTATGAGATTGTGAAAGACATTGCCGAGGAGGGTGCCTTCGACGAATTCGTCAAGAAACACCCAGAGGCTACTGTCTTCTTGCACACTGCCTCGCCTTTCCACTTCAATGTCACTGACGTTGAAAAAGACTTGCTCCAGCCAGCTATCCGTGGTACCAAGTCGGCATTGCAATCCATCAAAGACTACGGTTCCAACATCAAGAGAGTTGTTGTCACTTCATCCTACGCTGCAATTGCATCGGCTGAGATGGACCTGAAGGCTGGTAAGGAGTACGATGAGACCTCCTGGAACGACATCACTTGGGAGAAGGCTCTTGAAAACCCACTTCTCGGTTACTACGGTTCCAAGACCTTTGCTGAGAGAGCAGCATGGGAGTTTGTCAAGGAACAGAACCCCAACTTCGTGCTTTCCACTGTTAACCCAGCCTACGTTTTTGGTCCTCAGCCCACCGATGACTTCAACTCTGAGAAGTTGAACACCTCCTCTGAAATCATCAACGCCGCTATGAAGCTCCTGAGCCCTAGTGCAGATGTGTACCCTGTCAATGCCTCTGCAGTGGATGTTCGTGATGTCGCCAAGGCTCACCTAGTGGCCTTTGAGAAGGACGAGGCCAAGAATGAGCGTTTGGTTTTGATTACCGGCCTGTTCACTCAGCAGGACATACTAGACGTTTTGCACAAGAAGTTCCCTAAGCAGGCTGAGAACGTCCCAGTGGGTACGCCCGGCTCGCAGAAGGAGGAGATCAAGACAAGATGTACTCCAGTAAACGACAAGACTAGAAAGATCTTGGACTTCCCATTGATCTCCATTGAGCAGACCATTGCCGACAGTGCTCAGCAGATCTACAAGGTTGAGAACATGCTTTAGAACGACAAATAGACTATAGAGTATGATACGAGAAAATTGATTTTTCTTTTTGAATTGGAGTAGAAAGCCTAGGGCATTGGGTTAGGGCATTGCAGAGAAGAAAGATTTCAGATCGATGTGGGGCTCTCGGCTTCAGGTGAGGCTGAGAAGCCAAATCGACAGCAAAGTCTGCAATTGGTTTCTTAAGACATTATTAATTGCTGATTGCAGCAGAAGCTTTTTTCCTATAATTTCACGAGCCTTGGGCGGGTTTGCCACTAAGGTGGTTCGTCCAATTCCACATCTATGACTCTTACAAGGTGTGGCAAAATTCCGTTGTTTCCATCCTTAAGACCATGCAATTTTTCAAACTACCAGCATAGACAATACACAATCAATGTATTGATCTCGGCTGCTTCTGGAAATAATTCACCAGCCACGATGCCGTGGAAGCCAAGTCAGATACCTCGGTACCATTGTTGAAACAAACGTCTCTACTGATAACCTGACGCCCTCAACGCGTCAGCAACGCCTCTTTTAAAAATAAAATAATATTTAGAGCTGAAACCTGCTTAGGCGAATTATCTATGCATTTGCTCCAAACCTGAAGGACCGTTTACGGCCATCTGGGGCCGTTTCAGGAAGATTAAGCTTCTGCGCCAAGCGGCTCAGAAATGACAATGCCACTCACAACTAGACATCATAATAAACCAGCCTCTGGACTATCCTCTAAAGCTGTCTCACCAAGTACACCTAGATGATTTAGATGTCTACCATAAATCTAAACCCACAATTCGAAAAAATGGCCAATTTCAGGCCTACCATTTGACATAACGTGTAGAGCCACACGGCTGTTCTTTTCGGCTTCAAGGCTTCCTGTTTGGGCAGACGGTTGCACTGATGCCATGGATGCAAACCGTATTGTTCCCCATGTTACATTTTTGAACCGCACCGGGCCACCCCACTTCTCCGGCCACCAAAAAGCTATAACCAAGGGAAACAGTGTTTTTGAATATTTATAGTAACAGCAAAAACATAAAGTTTAAAAAATTCCACATTTTTTCATGTACATGTCGATACACCTGGTCAACGGAATCACCGGTCCAGATGTAACCTCTTCGCACGGTTTCTTTTTCCTGTCATCCCACCTCGGCTGCAGCCACTCTACAACTATATAAACAAGACTTCTGCCCTGTTTTCTCATGATGTAGCTTTCTCCTAGCCACCTGGTCTGCGCACGATGACCTCTACCCTCACCATCCAACCTACCCGCATCCCCATCACCGTCATCCACTCTCCAGACATGCCTTCCGCTTCTAAAGTTTCCGAACGCCCATACACATGGCCCGAGGTCAAGGATATTATCAGATACAACGACCTTGATGCTTTTGCACGCCTGGGGGCCCAGACCGAGAGCTACTTGGCTTTCAAGAGATTGTTGAAGCAGCAGAATCTGACTGTGTTTAGGCACATTGTCACCCAGACTTTGGGCTGGAGACGCTTGGAGGAGTTGGACGGTGTCAAGGACGACAAGATCACTGTGGAAGCTTCCGGCGATCCCATCTTCACCAACCCGGATGACCTCAAGATCGTCAGAAACGACTTTCCTTACTACTTCGAAGACGACGTCACACATCTCTGTGTGTGGACCAAGAGAAGAATCGAGAGTGACCCAAACTCTTCCATCGGTGACCTCTCGAAGGAGACTAGAAACATTATAGAGCGCTACGTGGACCAGACGTTCGTCAAGGGTCTCGGGATCCCCCGGGAGAACTTGGTTTGGTTCCGTAACTGGGAAGCCCTCCAGAGCGTTAAGGAGATCAGCCACGTCCACGTGGTGGTCAAGGGCATGACTAGAGAGCAGGTTGCTCAGATTTTGGGCACTCCTGGCATTCCTTTGAAAGCATAGTCTTTCGAGTTATTCGTATACCCGGCATCAGCCACAGCATCTTAGAGGTTTTATTTATTTAGATATTGTATTATTAGCATCTTGGGAATGGAAATAGAGTGAAAAGCAGTGTAGGATTTGTCGGTTGCAAATGTGTGAAATGGTTGAGTACCAGTTCCGTCTAGCGGAGGATATAGGTGTGTGACAATAAGAATTAATGACTCATGATCTCATAGTTGCTAGTTTTGATTATAGTCAGGCGGGAATGAAGAGAATCTGCATTAGGATATCATTTATTATCGCTGGAGGGCCCAAGATCTGGGATCCATCGATTTAGGTGTGGCACCTGAACGGAATTCACCACGGAAAACAGTAACCCCTATTTCATCTTTGAGAACAAAAAACTTATGAATCAAATTTAACACTTCAGCTGGCTTTTGTGAAGCTAGGTGGTCAAATGACTGTAGAGTCCAGGGACAAGTGTTTGCAACCTCTGAGTACCAACCAAAGCAAGCTTGAAGCTTAGCATCTTTAAAAACCTCATACTACAGAAAACTGCTTCCTAAAATTTACTAGGGCAAGCTACAAATGTAAACCCAGTGCTTCATCAGGATCTACAACGGTGTATTCAGCCCTTCTACCTCCATCCATTACTCTAAGCAATGATCTTTTATAATCTCCTTTATCAGCTGCTCACAGCAAAACCAATGTAAAGCGTCAAAGATCCACAGCAAATGACCCCTCTATCCACACAATTTTCATAACAAAGATCGCTACATGGTAGACATATAGCGAGGCACCTGAGGCGGTATGTGGTATGAACAACATTCCAGAGACAAACCACGGTTTTCACCACAACAACGAAATGATTTGCAAAACATTCTCAATTTCAGACTCCATCTTGACTGTTTTTCAGGTAGATTTCCCTCAGCTTAACTCTCCATACATTGGCTGTATTGGAAGCCTAGGCCCCACATGGCAGATTGTGCAGTCAATTGCCTCAAATTGACCCCCCCTCAAAACGAGCGCTTTACTATGAATGACCATTCCAACTCCCCTCTAGGCCTAGGCCAATCACAGCCTTTTGACCATGTCGACCATCAACTGAGTCCACAAATTGGCCCCAGACTTGCTCTCAGTAAACCAAACTCTACTCTACAAATGCATTTCTCATTCATCATAAATTCAATAATATACAAATACCCAGAAGTGAACTTAACCACCGAAACCGTACAAGGTTCTGCCCTGTCTCTTCAAAGCGTAGACAACGTCGAGAGAAGTAACAGTCTTTCTCTTGGCGTGCTCAGTGTAAGTGACAGCGTCTCTGATGACATTCTCCAAGAAGGACTTGAGGACACCTCTGACCTCCTCGTAGATCAAAGCAGAGATACGCTTGACACCACCTCTTCTGGCCAATCTTCTGATGGCTGGCTTGGTAATACCTTGAATGTTGTCTCTCAAGATCTTTCTGTGACGCTTAGCGCCACCCTTTCCGAGACCTTTTCCGCCTTTTCCTCTACCAGACATGTTTAATAAATGTGTGTGTTATATGAGAAAAAAAAAAGAAGAGCTTTACAATGCGAGCGGACTCGCGCTATATATGTGTGGGTGGCGAGACCCGGGGGTCCTTAGGGGGGCTCACATTTTTTTTCTCAGTGTTCCGATTGCGGCACCCAAGTAAAGAGCCTCACAATTTGTGCCTCCACTTCCATAGTAATGCGTAGTGAGCATACTGGGGCAGGTTTTTTTTGTACACTTCTGTGCGCGGGAAAAGTCGCTTCAGTGTGCGAAGCAAGCCTGAGACGAGCTTCCGGTGTACGGGTGCGCGCTTGAAACACCCCAAAAGATGTCTTTTCGCAGTGCCATGATATACACTATGCGCGAGTAAAAAGTATACCTAGCTTTTGGTCGCACTCTTTATCTTTTCGTTGGCACAAAAGAAAGTAGTGTTAAGCTGCGGAGACCCGGGGTGTTTGTATACAGCCTGCACACACCCACGAGTCTACATTCTATATAAACAGATCCCCTTCCCACCACCTCAATTTCTCATCATCAGCAAATATGGCTAGAACTAAACAAACAGCTAGAAAGTCTACCGGTGGTAAGGCCCCAAGAAAGCAGTTGGCTTCCAAGGCCGCCAGAAAGTCCGCCCCATCTACCGGCGGTGTCAAGAAGCCTCACAGATATAAGCCAGGTACCGTTGCCTTGAGAGAAATCAGAAGATTCCAGAAGTCTACTGATCTCTTGATCAGAAAGTTGCCTTTCCAGAGATTGGTCAGAGAAATCGCTCAGGACTTCAAGACCGACTTGAGATTCCAGTCCTCTGCTATCGGTGCTTTGCAGGAGTCCGTTGAAGCTTACTTGGTCTCCCTCTTTGAGGACACTAACTTGTGTGCTATCCACGCCAAGAGAGTCACCATCCAGAAGAAGGACATCCAGTTGGCCAGAAGATTGAGAGGTGAGAGATCCTAAGCGGGTCCCCTTCTATTTACTTCGTTCCATGTATTATTTATGTTTTGTATATTAGTAACGTCACGACTTCATAATTTGTTCATTGTAGGTTTCCATTTGGTGGCAAATCGCTGTGTTGAGTGGCATGACTGATTCGTCTTGTTGGGGACTTACATGTGTGGTGCTCAGGTATGTGCACAAATTTGCACCCAGTCAAACCACCCACTAGTCTAGAATTCACTACAGTTTGAGTATCGGATAATTATTCCTTCATTCTGAAGGTTCTCTTATCAAAAGATGATTTGAATATTCAGGCTTTCTTCGTAATTAAAATGGGTACACTGCGGGCTCAGTTCCTGGAACATAACCACGTCTCTCCTGTTCTTCCGCCTCTTCTTCCAAATAAGGCAAAATGACATCTTTGAACTTTTCGTATCCCCTATATTCCCTCACATCATCACTCCAGCTTTCGATTCCCTCTAGAAGTCTCCGTGGAATATATGGCTCTTTGCAGATTTCAGTAATGGGAGCAAAGTATGTTCTGATGGTGAAAACCACAGCTCCGGTTTTAGGAAGTCTTCTCAAACTCTGTCTTTCTGACCTGTAGAATAATTGCTCCGGTGTCGTAGCCTTGTCTGCGGTGTACCATCCCACAGTGTCTGAATTTTCATTACCGATTGACTTGGACCAGCCTAAGACATCATCGAGCTGAATGAAGTAGTTGTTCCTCACGACTGGTTTATCGCAAGTGAGACGAGTAAAGAATTTGGACATTCCCGTCTGCAACTTCTGCCTGTACTGTGGCACATCACCGGTGGTATGGATTTGGTTCAACGAAAGACCGAATTTGTCTCTGAATCTCCAGAACCCAGGGAGGATGATAGCACCCGCTTTCAAAAAGTATTCACCTGTGGGACCTTCCATCATAATCGCCAAGTCATCCTGGACCATTTTTGCTGCCATTACCATCGGGTCCTCCGCCATATCGCTGGGCTTACAACCTCTGAACACGAACTCCTCACCTGTCTTCAAATTCTTAAGACCTCTTGGAGTTTGCTGAAAGAGAGAGGGATATCTCACTGGCAAGTAGCCCCAAAATTCATCTAGGAGTTCGAATACAGCGGCCTGAGCTTCAGGCTTAGTGTCATAAAGCTCGGTTCCTCTTTCTTCAAGCCTCTGTACCTTGGCGTCATGGAACTTGGGCCACTCATTGTCAAGCTCAATCCATGAATCCCATTCCATATTACGGATCCCCATGGTGATGTTGTACTTGTTTCTGAAGGCTCTGTATGGCAAGGGTTTAGTCTTTTCGTAATCCCAATTTGGGTATGGTGGAGGGACGGGAGTTTTGTAATCTTCAGGTACCCATGTACCGTTCTTACGGTTCTCATTAGGACTTTTTTTGATGGTCTTCTTGGGACTGGACCCCTTCAGGTGCTTGTATCCCTTCTGGGACTTGAAGTAGAGAGCTAGACCAACTGCTCCAATCAAGTAAACATAAAGCTTGATTTCTGAGAATGAGATCATACTTTAGCCAATAAAAAAAATTAGATTTTCAAGAATTCATAGTTCTCCTGAATCTCTTATAAAGATCTTATCACCCAGATTTCGCAACCGATAGGATGCGCACAAGCCTGCCTAAATTGGTTAGATTATCCGCCTCGCTTAAGCTGGTGGGAGGAATGCCGCAAAAAGGGCAGGCTGTACGACATTCCATACTATGAAATAGCCAAAAATTACCTTTTTAGCTATTGGGAAGTCGTTGTGGACCCATAATCCTGCTACAAGCCAGTACACCAATGGAAGGAAGGTGTGGATTCTTGTGACGATCTGAACATGCCAGAATAGTATGAGTGCTGCAAGAAAGACACCACCCACTAAGGAAACCGGCAAGATCCTGTTCACAGGATAGATGTGGGTGAAGTACTTGATGCTGAAAGCCAAAAGGCCAATTGAAGGAGCCCCAAATAAAAAGTTGGGAATATTGTTTGGAGTCCAGTACTTGAATAAGCCGTTGTTCCAGTAATGGCTCTGGGCATAGGCAAAAAGCGAAGGTACTGTCTTAGAGCACCACTCACCACGGGTGCCTGGTAGGCAGATTTCGACGTAGTTGTAAGCATTCGAAAGAAGGAAAGCAAAACCTAGGATCAGACCAGCGACTAACGGAAGCCATGGCGCAGAGGTATTGAACTTGACCAAATCGTAGATGTAGATGAGACCTAAAAGAAGACAGTTTGCTCTGAACCCAAACGCTAGTGCCGCAGCAAGTCCGCTAAGCACGTAAAGCACCTTTCTAGTATCCGACTTAGATTTTGCACCCACGACGAATTCAAGACTTTTCTCTCGTAAGCCCAAGCAAGTGAAACTGAACAAAGCAGCGATACTCTCGGAATATGGAGCAGTCAAGAATGCCGCACCAGGCAGAAGGATGAAGAAGAATGCCGTCAATTCTGCCATCTTCAGTGGAGAAAAGAGTCTGGCCTGGTTGAAAAGAATGAATGTGTAGTGATAGAGCACCACAGCGGCCGCAAAATGACAAATGTTTGAAAGCGCTGTTGCAAATATCAAGCGCTGGTAAAAAATCACGTCGGAGTTGATTGGAATCACTCTAACGAGTCTCCACCAAAGAGGGCAGAAGACATACTGATGCTCGTAAGTCAAGCCATTGGCGAATAGGTCCGCAAAGTACACGGCATCCCAAGTAACAAACTTATCGACAACATTATCTAGAAATGAACGAATGAAGTTTTGGAGTAAAGTGTCGATGGGTTTGATCGATGTCAGTATACCGTTCACTATAAGGTGTTTCTCTGGGGCGTATTTTTGTAGAAGCACATTGGACAGAATATCGAATTGACCGGGCAGAAGGTAAAATATAAGCAAATGAAGCAACTTCACGGTCAAAAAGACCAAGAATAAGCGCCTGGTAGCCATACTCGGTGGAGTACTTCTCGATGCTCTGATATACACAGTCGAGGTCTCATCACGTGCACCATACACGGTTGATCGTGGTATTTCTATTTTATTAAACCATAGCACTCTATCTAATTAGTTCCTAGTGGTCCCGTGACTGTATGTGATTATTTCTTAGTGGTGAACTGAGCAGCAAAAGAGTCAATGATGCCCGCGACCGAACCAGGGTTAGCCAAGGTGGTGATGTCACCCAACTGGTCGGCCTCGTTCAGCGAGATCTTTCTCAAGATTCTTCTCATGATCTTGCCCGATCTAGTCTTTGGCAAGTCCTGGACAATAATGACGGACTTGGGGGCGGCGAAGGGACCAATCTCCTTACGCACCGTCAAGATCAACTCTCTTCTAAGGTTGAAGGCCTCCTCCGAGGTCTCGTTACCGTTGATGGTGGTGAGGTATTCGTCCTTCAAGGCAACGAAAGCCACCACGGCCTGGCCAGTCAAGTCGTCGTTGATACCAACAACAGCAGCCTCAGAAACACCAATGTGCTCGATCAAAGCAGCCTCAATCTCAGCAGTAGACAATCTGTGGCCAGAAACGTTAACAACATCGTCGACTCTGCCTCTAATCCAGTAGTAGCCATCGTGGTCACGAGCAGCACCGTCACCGGTGAAGTAGTAGCCGGGGTAAGGCTTCAAGTAGGTGTCCATGTACTTGGCGTGGTTCTTGTACACGGAACGGGCCATAGAGGGCCATGGGCTCTTGACAGCCAACACACCTTCGACATCATTGCCGTGGATCTCCTGGCCAGACACCGGGTCGATAAGGCAAGCGTCAATACCGAAGAAAGGCAAAGAAGCAGAACCTGGCTTGTTAGGAGTGATACCGGCAACTGGAGCAATAAGGTGGGAACCAGACTCTGTCTGCCAGTAGGTATCGGAGATGTGACACTGGTTCTTGCCCACCTTCTCGTTGTACCATTCCCAGATGTCTGGAGAGATAGGCTCACCGACAGAACCCAAGGTTCTCAACGAGGTCAAGTCGTACTTGCCAATCTCGGCCTCGCCAGCCTTTCTCAAGAGACGCAAGGCAGTAGGAGCCACGTAGAAGTGGGTAGCCTTGTGCTTCTCGACAATCTGCCACAAACGGCCGTAGTCTGGGTAGGCTGGGGTACCTTCGAAAACGATGGTGGGGATACCCAACGACAAAGGACCGTAGAGAGCGTAAGTGTGACCGGTAATCCAACCGACGTCACCAGCAGTGAAAAGAACATCCTCAGGGTGGACGTCAAAAATGTACTTGGTGGTCATGGCAGCACCCAAAAGGTAGCCACCGGTGGTGTGGACCACACCCTTTGGAGTTCCGGTAGATCCGGAGGTGTACAACAAGAACAATGGGTCCTCGGCGTCAACAGACACGGGAGGCAAGTAGCCAGGGAATTTGGCAGCCTCCTCGTGCCACCAGAAGTCTCTGGACTCGTCGAAAGCGACCTCTGGGTTACCAGTACGGCTGTGCACCAACACCTTCTCAACAGAAGGACATTGAAGCAAGGCCTCGTCACACAATTTCTTGATGTTGATGGTTCTGCCACCTCTCTTACCCTCGTCACAAGTGATCAAAGCCTTACAGTTGGCGTCGTTGACTCTGTCCTTGATGGAACCAGAAGAGAAACCAGCGAAAATCACCGAGTGGACAGCACCCAAACGGGCCACCGCCAACATGGCAATAACGGCCTGGGCGTTCATGGGCAAGTAGATGGCCACATTATCGCCCTTCTTGATGCCCCACGATGCCAAAATACCAGCAGTCTGACACACCTCTCTCAAAAGCTGGGCATACGTCAAAGTACGAGAATCGCTCTCATCGTCGGCCTCACAGATCAAGGCGGTTTTGTCTGGGTGGGCGTAGGCCCATCTGTCCACACAGTTGTAGGAAGCGTTCAACTGACCACCAACAAACCAGTGGGTGTCACCGTGAAGCAAATCGCCAGCCAGAACCTTATCAAAGTCCTTATCCCAGGCCAACAATTCACGGGCCTGCTTGCCGAAAAACTCGTCTGGGTTCTCGATCGACTGCTTGTACAATTTCTGGTACTCGTCGATCGAGGTAATGTGGCCCTGGCGGGGCTGTCTTTGGTAGAATTCGTCTGGGGTGTTTCTTAACGAGACGTTGTTGGCCTCGTGCACCACCTTGTGGGATGGGGCCGAAGTCATTTTCAATTTCTTGTGCTGGGATATGGTTGCAACTTCAGAAGCAGTAGTCCGAGGCAGCGAGGGGAATGGTTCGCAAGGCGTCGGATGAAAAAACAAGCTACTGCTATACGATATATATTTTTTCCACCACCGTTTTTTTGGGCCCCCCAGATACAGGCGATTGGGCTCGCTTACTCCGACGCCGCGTCAGCATAGACTTAGATTGGTGGAATTGAAGTAGACAACAAAGAGATACTGGCGAATTTGGCCGATAATGTCACTTCAGAATCCATCAACACAATTGTGTCTCGCCGTTGGGTGGCCTGAGGTGCTCGTTTAGCGGCCTCGAACGCGCATCACCGAGACGTCATTGTCTAGTAGTTTTACGACTTGACAGCAGCGGGCGGATATTTTTTTAAAGGAGGGGAATAGGCGAGCAGAAAATAAAGTGAGTCGATTCTGCTACATTTATAGGTACTTCCGTTTACCTGCTTATGTATGCGTCGTGCGTGGGTTTGTTGGACCCGTTGGGTGAGAAATTACCCAAAGTACCCTATCGTCGCCATGGAGGTATATGGAAGAAGCCCGGTTGTGTACAGGGCGACATCAATCTGCACCAATGCTGGACAGCATATTGCAACTACCCAGTTACGGTTGGTAGTGGGTCTACGGAATAGGATTAGTCATTTTAATATTGTTGGGACTTTTTTGAAAAGTGAAGAACTCGTTACGCAACACGCGTAGCCATGTGCTCACTGTGGCGATGCTGTAGAGCGCAAAACCGTATAGGGCACAATACTCCCCTATTAGGAGAGGTGAAAAATCCGGATTTTCTGGAATCTCGGAATCTGCTTTTTTTGGATATTTCCTTAATTACTGTAAGCATTCATGCTCTAACACATTTGCTTGCATTGGTGAAGTTCTCGTTATGAGCTGACGAAAATCGCCAAGGCTTCCAATACTGACATGTATTTTTTGCAGCAGGATTGCGTGACTTTGTAACTGAAAAATTTCGCCCAAGGTCTAGTCTACATAACCATTTGCTTCTACAAAATTAATTTTTTTTAACTGTTCATTTCTTGCTCTATATCAATGGATTGTTCCATTTACAGCTCTTTCGCAATACCCATTAAATCTATTACATATTTAGATCTACCGTAAGTCTTTTGTAGACCTAGCCGGTCAACACATTTAGTCGACCTCCTCAACAGTTGGACCGTCGTCGGTTGGTGGAGCACCAGCACCTGGAGCACCGCCTGGGAATCCACCTGGAGCACCACCTGGGGCACCACCGGCCTGGTAGGCCTTGGACATGATTGGGTTGGCAACACCCTCCAACTCCTTCTGCTTGTCAGCGTACTCCTCAGTGGTAGCGGTCTGGTTCTCGTCCAACCAAGCAATGGTCTCGTCAGCAGCCTTGGTGACGGACTCAACCTCAGACTCCTCCAACTTGGACTTGAGCTGCTCCTCGCCCAAAGAGGTCTTCAAAGAGTAAGCGTAAGACTCCAAACCGTTCTTGGCCTGGACTCTGGCAGCCTCCTTCTCGTCCTCCTCCTTGAACTTCTCGGCCTCAGAGACCATTCTCTCAATGTCCTCCTTAGACAATCTACCCTTGTCGTTGGTGATAGTGATCTTCTGGGTCTTACCGGTACCCTTCTCCAAAGCGGAAACGTTCAAGATACCGTTGGCGTCGACATCGAAGGTAACCTCAATCTGAGGAACACCTCTTGGGGCTGGTGGGATACCAGACAACTCGAACTTACCCAACAAGTTGTTGTCCTTGGTCTTGGCTCTCTCACCCTCGAACACCTGAATCAAAACACCAGGCTGATTGTCGGCGTAAGTGGAGAAAGTCTCAGACTTCTTGGTTGGGATAGTAGAGTTTCTTGGAATCAACTTGGTCATGATACCACCAGCGGTCTCAATACCCATAGACAATGGAGCAACATCCAACAACAACAAGTCCTGAGTCTTGGAAGAAGTGTCACCAGACAAGATAGCAGCCTGGACAGCGGCACCGTAAGCAACAGCCTCATCAGGGTTGATGGACTTGTTTGGCTCCTTACCGTTGAAGAAGTCGGACACCAACTTCTGGACCTTTGGAATTCTGGTGGAACCACCAACGAGGACAATCTCGTGAACCTGAGACTTGTCAACCTTGGCGTCTCTCAAGACCTTCTCGACTGGGTCGAGAGTAGATCTGAAGAGGTCCTGACACAACTCCTCGAATCTGGCTCTGGTGATGGAGGTGTAGAAGTCAATACCCTCGTAAAGGGAGTCGATCTCGATAGAGGTCTGGGCAGAAGAGGACAAGGTTCTCTTGGCTCTCTCACAAGCAGTTCTCAATCTTCTCAAGGCTCTCTGGTTAGAAGAGAGGTCCTTCTTGTTCTTTCTCTTGAACTCGTTGACGAAGTGGTTAACCAATCTGTGGTCAAAGTCCTCACCACCCAAGTGAGTGTCACCGGCAGTGGACTTCACCTCGAAGATACCGTCCTCAATGGACAAAAGGGAAACATCGAAAGTACCACCACCCAAGTCGAAGATGAGGACGTTCTTCTCCTGCTCATCCTTCTTGTCCAAACCGTAAGCAATGGCAGCGGCGGTTGGCTCGTTGATGATTCTCATGACGTTCAAGCCAGCAATCAAACCGGCGTCCTTGGTGGCCTGTCTCTGGGAGTCGTTGAAGTAAGCTGGGACAGTGACAACGGCGTCGTTGACAGTGGTACCCAAGAAAGACTCAGCAGTCTCCTTCATCTTACCCAAAACCATGGAAGAGATTTCCTCAGGGGAGAAGACCTTGGTCTCACCCTTGTACTCAACCTGGATGTTTGG